CTTGGTACACTTGTCTTACAATCACCCATCTCAACTTCCCCTCTTCCTTGTTCTTGGTACACTTGTATTACAATCACCCATCTCAACTTCCCCTCTTCCCTGTTCTTGGTACACTTGTCTTACAATCATCCATCTCAACTTCCCCTCTTCCTTGTTCTTGGTACACTTGTATTACAATCACCCATCTCAACTTCCCCTCTTCCCTGTTCTTGGTACACTTGCCTTACAATCACCCATCTCAACTTCCCCTCTTCCTTGTTCTTGGTACACTTGTATTACAATCACCCATCTCAACTTCCCCTCTTCCTTGTTCTTGGTACACTTGTATTACAATCACCCATCTCAACTTCCCCTCTTCCTTGTTCTTGGTACACTTGTATTACAATCATCCATCTCAACTTCCCCTCTTCCTTGTTCTTGGTACACTTGTATTACAATCATCCATCTCAACTTCCCCTCTTCCCTGTTCTTGGTACACTTGTATTACAATCAACTATCTCAACTTCCCCTCTTCCCTGTTCTTGGTACACTTGTCTTACAATCACAACTTCTTTTTCTTCTTCGTTCTTAGTTGAGAATATGGTGGAGGATTTAGACAACAAGTCCAACTTCGTGAATAAACCGGACTGTGGTCTCCAGATCAGCAGGTGCCCCATATAATTTTTCCCTGACTGGGGTGAGCAGGGGTTAGTGTCTGACTCGCGCCTGGCTATACAAAGAACATTCCTGGAGGACGTTTTCCGTATTTTCCGGGGCCTTGCCACAAGGGCACATTTCGCCACACCCAACCTTTAGTTTTTTATGCATGTGTTGATTTAGTCTGTTATGGCCTGTTCTAAGTCGAAAGATTATGTATTGTTGTTTTCGTGTCAAATTATAATATCCATCATCTTTATTGTAGTGAGGGTGTGTGTCAGACCACATTTGTGTTTGTTTTTTATTATTCTTTTTATTTCTTTTGGGTGTAGCGAGATTTCCGGTTGTTTTTTCTTTCCCCCAATTTTTGCCAGCTGGTCCGTAATTTCATTACCCTGGATCTGGCAGTGGCCCGGGATCCACTGCAGCACAATTCTGCTGCAGGTATTTATTAGCCTTTCTAGTGCTGTCATAAGTGTTTGAGTATAGGACTCTGGATTTTTTAGGGATTACAGGACAGATTTGGCATCTGTAAGAAATACAATCTGACTATTTGGAGATTCAGGGTGTTCTGACAGGAGCTTTGCTGCATGCTCTAAAGCTTCTTTTTCTGCCCTAAAATTGCCTGTGGCTATTGACTTTCCAGGCTTTCTCCGCTTGGCCATTCAATAAGGACGCCAGCCCCGCCATTTTTTGTGGCATCTTCAGCTGAGCCATCTGTGAATACCCTAATCCAGGTATTGCTGGGGTACTGATCCTTAATGTGCTTATTTTTTATTTTCTTTAGTTCTTCTTGATCATAGTCAGATTTTTTTCTATGGGGTCTATTGAGTCACTAATGGTTAAATGACAGTGGGAGATCCAAGGCGGGGAGAGGTTTTGAGTTTTGATTGCTTCAGGAATGATGTTTTCGATTTCATATTTCTTTTTTAGATTCTTAGCTTCTTTGATGAAACTTGTTCTTTGTAGTACAATCACAACTGAATCAAGCAATCCAATGAATATAGTATCAACTGTGTTTTACGCAATGTATGAAACTGTTCTATAATTTAATATACTTCAAATATTGTTGGTATTTAACATGGAGTCCGGATCGGTCTACTTCATTCGTTTTTTTTTCATTTCTTTGCGAAAATGGTGTTAACGCCACCTATCAGTTTATTCTTTGTACACTCCCGTCCTCTCCAGACGCATGGACCCCATTGTTCACCTTATAAGGATCACAACTAGCATTGTCTCTTGGCGTTCCACCTTATTGCATGTGGGCGATGATGCCGGCGGCTTTAGACTTTGTTCTTTGATGGTTGTCTCTCCACGTTGACATAGAGGGAGCTATGAAAACAGTAGTGACCGTATTTCGCAATATTTAGGCGTTGATCCTTTGTGTTTAAGATACTCTCCAGTCGCTTGGACCAGATGGTTCACCTTATAAGGATAGCAGCTAGCATCGTCTCTTATCTTGAACTTTCCGTCTTATTTCATGACTTATTTTTCGATGGCTATCTAGATAGGAGCTATGTCTAAATAGGAGCTATGTTTTGACACATATTTTGAGATGTTAGTATTTTTATATTTGTCGGCCTGATGGTCTGTCTGCCTTTTGGATGTCGGCCTTATGTCCAGTCGGCCTTTTGGCTGTCGGCCATTTGTCTAGTCAGACAATAAATGGTGAGACAGAATGAGATAGTGGCACTATGACGAAAAGGATGCTATTTGGCATTACTCTATGGTCTACTTTAGGGGTCGTCCACAAATGACCCCTCACTTCTACTCTATGGTCTACTTTAGGGGTCGTCCACAAATGACCCCTCACTTCTACTCTATGGTTTACTTTAGGGGTCGTCCACAAATGACCCCACACACTTCTACTCTATGGTTTACTTTAGGGGTCGTCCACAAATGATCCCACACTTTTACTCTATGGTCTACTTTAGGGGTCGTCCACAAATGACCCCACACTCCTAAGAAGCAAAGGGTTCGTAATTTTGTCACTATGTGTGATGATGTTGGGGGGGGGGGGGGGGGTGTTTGAGATAGTGTGACGTCACACTTTTGCATTCTAAAGTAAGAAATGTAAGGAACTAAATATTAGCCGTTATTTCGTGTTTTAGAAGGCTGTTTTTGTCAGTTGTGATACCCGTTGATTAATGTACTCTGTGTTAACCGAGCTCAGTCAGTATTTGAGAAAGAAAGCGAGTTATAGACTGAGAGATGTGACGCCATGTATAGGGGGGGGGGAGTCTTGCCTTGTGTGACGGTGTGGGGGGAGGTACAAATCGTCAAAAAAGCGTGACACCATTTATGGATGGCACCTTTTATGCAAAGTGGGGAAAAAAATTTTTTTTTTGTAATTTATCTTTTAATTTCGCCAGGGGCGCTGGGGCGGGAGGCACTAACAACCCCCCCCCCACCCCACCCCGTTGAAGGAATGCAAAAATAGCCTAGGTTTATAGGATGGCTGGATCCACATGGCGTAGGTTAATGAGATGTTTGGCAAGAAATGGTCTGTCTATAGGATGGTTGGGCTAGAATTGAATGCATTTGTTGATGAAAGGCCCGCCCTGGGTCCTATCTAAGTATTTGGGATGGTTGGGATAGAATTGAATGCATTTGTTGATGAAAGGCCCGCCCTGGGTCCTATCTAAGTATTTGGGATGGTTGGGATAGAATTGAATGCATTTGTTGATGAAAGGCCCGCCCTGGGTCCTATCTAAGTATTGATCCAATATCTTTTGCCTGTTTACCTCTCGCAGGAGTTGGTCTATAGTTTGCTATGTCTCATTGAATGGTAATCTAAATATAGACACAGCCAATCCTTTCTCAAGGCTTGAGGTCTCTATGAGACAAGCACTTTCAACAGATGACATGCTTGGGATGTGGATAGGCGCATGACAAGCCTGGGATGTGGATATGTCATGACATTACAGGGATATGGATATGTCATGACATTACAGGGATATGGATATGTCATGACATTACAGGGATATGGATTGGCCCATGACGTTCTGTGCACTATCAATTTTCCCTTCTAATCTCGTGTTGACTCCGTCCTACCAGTCCCCCCCCCCCTCCGTCCTACCAGTCCCCTCCGTCCTACCAGTCCCCCCCCCCCCTCCGTCCTACCAGTCCCCTCCGTCCTACCAGTCCCCTCCGTCCTACCAATCCCCCCCTCCGTCCTACCAGTCCCCCCGTCCTACCAGTCCCCTCCGTCCTAGCAGTCCCCTCCGTCCTACCAGTCCCCTCCGTCTTTACCAGTCCCCCCCCTCCGTCCTACCAGTCCCCCCCCCTCCGTCCTACCAGTCCCCTCCGTCCTACCAGTCCCCCCCTTCGTCCTACCAGTCCCCTCCGTCCTACCAGTCCCCCCCCCCTCCGTCCTACCAGTCCCCTCCGTCCTACCAGTCCCCCCCTTCGTCCTACCAGTCCCCTCCGTCCTACCAGTCCCCCCCCCCCCTCCGTCCTACCAGTCCCCTCCGTCCTACCAGTCCCCCCCTCCGTCCTACCAGTCCCCTCCGTCCTACCAGTCCCCTCCGTCCTACCAGTCCCCTCCGTCCTACCAGTCCCCGTCCCCCCGTCCTACCAGCCCCCCCCCCCTCCGTCCTACCAGTCCCCCCCCCGTCCTACCAGTCCCCCCCGTCCTACCAGTCCCCCCTCCGTCCTACCAGTCCCCAAACATTCATGAAGGTGGTGGGACCAACGTTGAATGCCTGCAGGGTATGGTAGAGCGGTGTGTGTTGGGGGGGGGGGGGCGGGGGGGGGCACGAGTAATGAAGAAAGTAATGAAGAGATTAAGTTAAATTAAGTGTAGGAAATGAACGGACGTTATTCTAATAACATAGTCGTCGTATCCGTAAAACGTAGCAGAACACATTGCCACACACACACACACACTCGCGCGCTACATAAAAAGTCATAAATTGACGTTTGTTATCGGTGTATCTAGCGTAGTTCTTCCCCCTGTTTTATGTTGTGTGTATTGTGTATGGTATCAGGTTTTGTAGACATGATCCAGCTTGTTGAATTCGATTTTTTTCATGTAAGGCTCGAACGGATCAAATCTCTCTCACCAACCCCTCCCCTTACCCTCTAGATCGTTTTACTTTCTCCTAGCGAATAAATCATTTGAATGACGGCTTTTGTTACTTTCAATGCCGCTCTCAAGTCCCACCCTAATGCTCGGCGGGTGAACGATATGATTACACACTGAACCTCGCTATTTTTGTCTTGTCAAAGGCAATATAATAAAACTGTCAAATCGATAAGCCACACAGATTTATTTTTTAAACTACTTTCAAGTAGTCACCGTTTTATTTTGAATTGTATTTCCGGTTGTCGTTGGCAACGCTTGTTGGTGACCAGGTTTTTAGCAGCGGGAAATCATTCTGCTCGCAGACGGGAGTCGATCACAACGTTTCATGTCGCCAGTTATCCAGTCTAGTCGAATCTAATCTAGACTCTAGATCTAGAGTATTTGTAACAACTCAGATCGCCACTCTAGTTTTGTTGTATTTAACCGGCGGACAACGTACAATTTTTACTCATGTAACTTGAGACGAGAGATCGACTGAGATGCCAGTTTTTTTACTGTGAGGAAAGTTGAACTTTGACGTTGTTTCAATCAACCCATGCCAGTTTTGTGTTCAGCTGTTGATTTACAATGAGCTGATTCAACTGCTGATGTCATTTTAGAATGGGGGAGGCTGTTGTGCCAATGTTAAGTTGTCATGGTTGATGAAGAAAGGTACAACAGTATCTAGTATCTAGTGATGACAGATGGATGCCAGACAGCAGTAGATGTCAGTCATGACAGCTGGATGAAAGTGGTGACATCAGATGGCCGCCATGGAAACAAAAATGACCCTAGGGTAGGCAGCTGGTGGTGACCCCTCCCTGCTGAAATCTGCACCCCCCTAGTCCCTACCCACAATGCCACTAGATGCCACTGTAGATGAGTTGAGGAGACTGAAGGCTCAGAGAAGTCGACAGAGAGAGATTCGAGACTTGGAAGAGCGCATGCTGCTAGACAACCTTGAGGAAACAGACCGCCAGCTGAAAGGCTCACCACCTCCATTAAATCAGCGCAAGAAGTTGCAGTTGTCTAAAGACAAGGCCATTCGTGACTTGCAAATTGCAGTAAGTACATTTATATCTTTTAAACTGTCACTATTTGAATTAAGTTGATAATATTGTAATCACTATTTTCTGTTATACATTTTAGGCAGAATTGTTTTTAGTGTATTTTCAATAGATATAGATCTACCCATAATTACCTTATGATCGAATTGTTTTTAGTGTATTTTCAATAGATATAGATCTACCCATAATTACCTTATGATCGAATTGTTTTTAGTATATTTACTTTTTATTTTTTAGTATGAAAGGCAAAGAGAACACAACATGTTTGGAGAACCAAAGAAAGATTATCGACGCCAGGTTTGTCAAGATGCTGCCAGAGATTAGACTTGTTACCAGACCCATCTGTGTTGATAATTAGACTTGTTACCAGACCCATCTGTGTTGATAATTAGACTTGTTACCAGACCCATCTGTGTTGATAATTAGACTTGTTACCAGACCCATCTGTGTTGATAATTAGACTTGTTACCAGACCCATCTGTGTTGATAATTAGACTTGTTACCAGACCCATCTGTGTTGATAATTAGACTTGTTACCAGACCCATCTGTGTTGATAATTAGACTTGTTACCAGACCCATCTGTGTTGATAATTAGACTTGTTACCAGACCCATCTGTGTTGATAATTAGACTTGTTACCAGACCCATCTGTGTTGATAATTAGACTTCAGTAACAAGATGGGACATTAATTATAGATGTTACCCATATCATTTGAGTCAAAACCCTTACACTATATAATAAGATTGTGTAAAAAATATTAATATATATATAAGTATTATAAGCAAGGCTTAGTGAAAACAAGCTAACTTTTTCAGAAATAATTATTTCTTTAAACACAACACAACTGTATCCATCATTATCATACCATCACATGTTTTTACTGCCAAGATTTCTGACCAGTTCAATTATTTATTTTAATCTTTATTTTCTGATCTAGTAAAAAATTACTAGGTTTGATGTCTGATATTCTTTTACGATTCTTTGATGGCTTTTCTCTCTTTCAACATCCTGATGTCCCCAACATCCCAATTTTTCTCTCTTTCAACATCCTGATGTCCCCAACATCCCAATTTTTCTCTCTTTCAACATCCTGATGTCCCCAACATCCCAATTTTTCTCTCTTTCAACATCCTGATGTGCCCAACATCCCAATTTGTCTCTCTTTCAACATCCTGATGTCCCCAACATCCCAATTTTTCTCTCTTCCAACAGCCTGATGTGCCCAGATATAATCATCATGCGGATCCCAAGGCCCAGCAGCTTGCGGAAAGCCATGGAAGAAATATGGAACATCTACAGAACAGGAACAGAGACTTGGAGAGACAAAGAGAAGGTGTGTAGAACAGTCTCAGCAGTCAGTTGTGTAGAAAGCAGTCTGAGCAGTTTGCTAGGGTTCTCTTGATAGGTGACATTGTACTTGATAGTTGATATTGTAACTTTTCAGAAATTCGAAGGAGGTTAGATGACTTGGGTCGCAGGCCAATCAAAGACGACGACTCTATGAACGCATTGCTTCAAGAGCTGAAAGACCAAGAGGCCAGGAACCAGAAAATGCTGGAAGAGTTGCGTCGCCTGATGGCCACACAGCACTAGTAAGTCATTCAACACAGCACTGAGTCATTCAACACAGCACTAGTAAGTCATTCAACACAGCACTAAGTCATTCAACACAGCACTAGTAAGTCATTCAACACAGCACTAGTAAGTCATTCAACACAGCACTAGTAAGTCATTCAACACAGCACTAAGTCATTCAACACAGCACTAGTAAGTCATTCAACACAGCACTAAGTCATTCAACACAGCACTAAGTCATTCAACACAGCACTAGTAAGTCATTCAACACAGCACTAAGTCATTCAACACAGCACTAGTAAGTCATTCAACACAGCACTAAGTCATTCAACACAGCACTAGTAAGTCATTCAACACAGCACTAAGTCATTCAACACAGCAGCAGTAAGTTATTTAGAGCAGCACTAGAAATATTTTCAAACTATTTGTCAAATTGAAGTTATTCAAATTTGAAACTTATAATTTAAAAACAAAATGTCAACTGTTAATGTATGAACCCAATAATTTAAAAACAAAATGTCAACTGTTGATGTGTGAACCCAATAATTTAAAAACAAAATGTCAACTGTTGGTGTATGAACCTAATAATTTAAAAACAAAATGTCAACTGTTGGTGTATGACCCCAATAATTTAAAAACAAAATGTCAACTGTTAATGTATGAACCCAATAATTTAAAAACAAAATGTCAACTGTTGATGTATGACCCCAATAATTTAAAAACAAAATGTCAACTGTTGATGTATGAACCCAATAATTTAAAAACAAAATGTCAACTGTTAATGTATGAACCCAATAATTTAAAAACAAAATGTCAACTGTTAATGTATGAACCCAATAATTTAAAAACAAAATGTCAACTGTTGATGTATGACCCCAATAATTTAAAAACAAAATGTCAACTGTTGATGTATGACCCCAATAATTTAAAAACAAAATGTCAACTGTTGGTGTATGACCCCAATAATTTAAAAACAAAATGTCAACTGTTAATGTATGAACCCAATAATTTAAAAACAAAATGTCAACTGTTAATGTATGAACCCAATAATTTAAAAACAAAATGTCAACTGTTGATGTATGACCCCAATAATTTAAAAACAAAATGTCAACTGTTGATGTATGACCCCAATAATTTAAAAACAAAATGTCAACTGTTGGTGTATGACCCCAATAATTTAAAAACAAAATGTCAACTGTTGATGTATGACCCCAATAATTTAAAAACAAAATGTCAACTGTTAATGTATGAACCCAATAATTTAAAAACAAAATGTCAACTGTTAATGTATGAACCCAATAATTTAAATACAAAATGTCAACTGTTGATGTATGACCCCAATAATTTAAAAACAAAATGTCAACTGTTGGTGTATGACCCCAATAATTTAAAAACAAAATGTCAACTGTTGATGTATGACCCCAATAATTTAAAAACAAAATGTCAACTGTTGGTGTATGACCCCAATAATTTAAAAACAAAATGTCAACTGTTGATGTATGACCCCAATAATTTAAAAACAAAATGTCAACTGTTGATGTATGAACCCAATAATTTAAAAACAAAATGTTGATGTATGACCCCAGCCCCGTGGCAGTGGAGGGCAAGAAGCAGCATCAGTACATCTACCCCATCTACTACGGCAACTCTTTGGTGGCTGAAATCATCGCAGTCAGACAAGCATACCTACAAAATGGGGGCAACGACCCAGACATACTGCAGCAGTTGGCCCAGATGCAGGCGGAAGCTCAGGCCATCGATGACTCCCTCAGGAACAGACCAGCGGTCAAGGTTAAAGGTATAGGCAGTGTACAAATGTGTCTTCCATTGTGTCAATGTACAAATGTGTCTTCCATTGTGTCAATGTACAAATGTGTCTTCCATTGTGTCAATGTACAAATGTGTCTTCCATTGTGTCAATGTACAAATGTGTCTTCCATTGTGTCAATGTACAAATGTGTCTTCCATTGTGTCAATGTACAAATGTGTCTTCCATTGTGTCAATGTACAAATGTGTCTTCCAGAACTCAGCCAAATGACCTCAACCAAATGACCTCAACCTACTGACCTCAAGCAACTGACCTCAACCTACTGACCTTAACCAACTGACCTTAACCTACTGACCTTAACCAACTGACCTCAGCCAACTGACCTCAAGCAACTGACCTTAACCAACTGACCTTAACCAACTGACCTCAACCTACTGACCTTAACCTACTGACCTTAACCTACTGACCTTAACCAACTGAACTTAACCTACTGACCTCTATTCCAGACAAGCACCAGCCAGATCACTCCCTGTTTACCCTAGAGCTGGAGAATGAACGGCTCCAGAGACAACTGCTGCTGCTACAGGAGCAGAACTTGCAGGCCAAACACCGGCGCAAGGACGATAGAGAAGGTAGGCATAGAGCCAGGGCAGGGAGGAGAGCGGCCACAAGCATCAGGCCAGTACCAGCCCTGGACACCAGGTACTTGACCCAGAACAGGCACAGGCAAACTGGCACTCTGGTCATCTTAAAAGAAAAACCTGTCACGCTGGTCAATTCATTGAAAGAGAGAATTGATAGCGATGTCCAGAATAAGTTTGGTTATGATCTTGGTACTAGCAGGTTTGTAGCTGAGGTGCCTGACAGGCTGCCAGAAAATGTTGACAGAGAACGGGCTAATGTTGGCCTGAGGACACTACTGCCTGATGGCTCTATGGACAGTGTCCCCCCTGAGCTGGTACAACCTTTGAACTCTGACAGCCAGCACCTTCCCTACTACAGAAATCACCTGGCCTCCAGAAAGCTGAACCAAGTGGAGCAGGGTTTGAGGGACAGCTACAGCCGTACCTCCCAGCCCAGTGGGGAGGGGATGGGCAGGAGGGAGGACCTGCCCACTGCCAGGTCTGAGGAGGATGTGTCATACACTCAAAGATCTCGCCCCGCCCCCCTGCCACGCCCACAGCTGTTGATTAATGATCTTCCTGTCAAATAAAAGTTCCACGTAGTCGAGTGCTGAAATGAGTTTTCCAATCTTTGAATGAAGTTAGCACATGTGTATTGGGTAAATATGAATCCAGCTCCAATGGTAGTAGGTCAAGGTTCTCACTCCTCTGGCACTCTCATCTGCTCAGATCATCTGCATAGCATTAGCTGAAATAGTTAGGATTAGTGACGGTGGATTAGCCTCTGTAGATAGGATTAACCTCTGTAGATAGGATTAGCATGTTCAGGTTCTGCTACCATTTCTTGTTGCAGTTAATCACATTCTGGTTAACGTTAGGGTTATGTAACTAATGGCTTTGTTGAGCCAGGCTGGCCAGTCTAGTGTGGTCAGTTTTTCTGCAACTTACATAATTGTCACATGTCAGTTTTTCTGCAACTTACATAATTGTCGACATTTTTGAGCAAAGTGATCAATCTACTATCTATTCATTTTTTTTTTTAAAGATGGTCATTGAATTGGACATTATAAATTTCTTAAAGAAACAAAGTATTTCCTGTAACTACAAATTTGTTTTTGTGAGATAATTTTTTTGTTCTTGTATGAGACAAAATGTTTGTGCCAATTTGAGATAGAAATAAAGTCAGCTCAAATGTCCATTCCAGTGTTGTCCAGTTTTTTATAGTCTGTAGTAATCACTTTGCTCAAATTTTTTTCTTACTACTGTGTGTGGAATACTTGTGGGTGAATTTATCTAGTTGTATGTGGAATACTTGTGTGTGAATTTATCTAGTTGTGTGTTGAATACTTGTGTGAACTGTTTGTAACAGTGCTAGGAATGCCAACAGATTATGAACTGTTTGTAACAGTCCTAGGAACGCCAACAGATTATGAACTGTTTGTAACAGTCCTAGGAACGCCGGCAGATTATGAACTGTTTGTAACAGTCCTAGGAACGCCAGCAGATTATGACCATATAAAAGGACCTGAACAACAGTCTAGTGGTGCCTTTTTTAGTTCAACAAAAACTTGAGTATCAACAATTTCCTTACACCACAAGGCGTACAGACTAGTATGAAGCTTGAAATCATTAACTGTCACATAAAGAGACCAAGAAATATGCTTGGGTTCTAGCAAGTTCCATGACTTGAAGGTCTCATGTTCAAAGAAAGCCTTAAGGAAAGATTCACAAAATTTTCTTCAACATTGTAAGGAAATGTAGTTTTAAAAGTTCGGTCTAATACACCCTTGAATTAGCGCCATCCAATGTTGGTCTAATTAGTCCCATATAATTAGTTCTTAAAAACATTTGGCATGTTTAAATTCTGCTGGATCAAAAAATAAATACTTGATTCAGCTAGTACTGTAATATTTAAATTACATATGTAATTAGGTAATTTTAAAAAACTTAGGAAATGTCTTTTTGATGTATAAATTTCTTGCCTCAGGCGTGGTATAAAAGAAATTTCTCTGAACATTTTGTCATTGAGGCGTGGTATAAAAGAAATTTCTCTGAACATTTTGTAGATGAACTGGAGAGAGACATCCGCCGCATGCAGCAAGACCACCTGCGTAAAATGTATGAACTTCAGAGGGAAATAGAGAAGCTGCGTCATGAAAGCATCTACCTGAAAATACACGACAAGCCCTCAAAGATCATCGTTCACCAACCACCACCCATTCAAGTCTCAGCACCACCTCCTGTTCAAATACCACAGCCTGTGAGTGCTATAGGACATAACACTAGTGCTATAGGACATAAAACTAGTGCTACAGGACATAAAACTAGTGCTATAGGACATAACACTAGTGCTACAGGACATAAAACTAGTGCTACAGGACATAAAACTAGTGCTACAGGACATAAAACTAATGCTATAGGACATAATTAGTGCTACAGGACATAAACTCAATGTTATTTGAATTATAATATAAACCTACTGTGATCTTAATTATAACATAAGCCCAGCGCTACTTTTGAGTTGTTTCTACTCTATACACCTTAACTTTTGTTTTTTCTACTCTATACACCTTAACTTTTGTTTTTTCTACTCTATACACCCTAACTTTTGTTTTTCTACTCTATACACTGTTTTTTCTTCTCTATACACCCTTTGTCTTTTCTACTCTATACACCCTAACTTTGTCTTTTCTACTCTATACACCCTAACTTTGTTTTTTCTACTCTATACACCCTAACTTTTGTTTTTTCTACTCTATACACCCTTTGTTTTTTCTACTCTATACACCCTAACTTTGTTTTTTCTACTCTATACACCCTAACTTTTGTTTTTTCTACTCTATACACCCTAACTTTTGTTTTTTGACCTTGCAGCAGATCATTGAAGTGGACAGGCTTGCACCATATGATTACAGGTGAGTCATCAAAAAAGCTGGCCACAGCATGGATGTCATTTTATTGCCTTATTAGTTTCAGAAAATTTCCAAAAAATATATTAAAACAGTATACCTAGGTCTATATTCTTTAACAAAAGGAATAAGTTATAAATTTAAGTCATGGTTTAAAAAATAATTAGTTTTTTCGGACTAATGCGAAATCTGCAAGTTCCGCGTGTTGCCGTTTCAGCCCTCGTCAACCATATGCACATACGTGGGCAAAAACACATTATAGACAAGACATGAACACAGACCCGTATTACGAGCTACAACTTTGATCAAGGGCTATAAAGGTAAGAAATTAATTCAATTTCTTCCTTACATGTTTCACTATTTCCTGCTGGAAGTTGTAAAAACTCTAAACATAAAAAATGATGTGCATCAGTAGAAAATGTGGGCAAGTTTTTTTGTTTATCCATGTTTCAGATCTTGGAGTCCAGACTACCCTTGTTTATACATTCTGGTCAATGGAATGGAGCAAAAGCTTCAGTGACGTGACACGGCCTGACTGGTGGAATCTATACTTTACAAAATATTTATGATAGACTAGATGAAAAAACATTCTAAACATTGCTTTCTTTTATAATTACTATCAAGTTTACTTAAATAGATCAATGAATATTTTTTTGCCTTAAATAAATTAATTGTGTCTAAGATGTAATGGGACGGAGTGGTCTAGCGGTAGAGAGCTGGACTACTAACCCGTAAGTCTCGAGTTCGAATCCGGGTTCAAGTCAGTAGACCGTCCCTGAGTCCACCCAACTCTGATGGGTACCTAACTCACTTTAGGGAGAGTAAAGGCGGCTGGGCATAGTGTTGACCACACTATCTCTTCATATGTAGAGGTCACAGAAATAAGTGAGCTCTACTTCACTTGCCCTATAGACCGTCAGGGAAACTTTACTTTATTTTTTTAAGATGTAATGCAAATATTATTTTTCATTCAACATTTTTATTTTGCATTTTAATTAAGCAAAGTTTAAACTTCGCAGTATACTTTACACAGAGGTGTAGCGATGGAGGGGGTGCGGGGGGGGGGGGGGGTGCAGACTGCAGACCACACCGGGTAACACCATTTAGGGGTGTGACATCAAGGCAAAAAATAGCAAAATATATACAGAAAAATGATAATTCCACTAATTAGAGTGCTAAATAGTGTTTTTAAGAGCAAATTTGACGAATCCCGATAAGGGTGGAGGCCATGACGTAAACCTGCTAATGATAGAGAAAACAGGCTACATCAGGCTGTAGAGAAAACAGGCTACATCAGGCTGTAGAGAAAACAGGCTACATCAGGCTGTAGAGAAAACAGGCTACATCAGGCTGTAGAGAAAACAGGCTACATCAGGCTGTAGAGAAAACAGGCTACATCAGGCTGTAGAGAAAACAGGCTACATCAGGCTGTAGAGAAAACAGGCTACATCAGGCTGTAGAGAAAACAGGCTACATCAGGCTGTAGAGAAAACAGGCTACATCAGGCTGTAGAGTAAACAGGCTACATCAGGCTGTAGAGAAAACAGGCTACATCAGGCTGTAGAGAAAACAGGCTACATCAGGCTGTAGAGAAAACAGGCTACATCAGGCTGTAGAGAAAACAGGCTACATCAGGCTGTAGAGAAAACAGGCTACATCAGGCTGTAGAGAAAACAGGCTACATCAGGCTGTAGAGAAAACAGGCTACATCAGGCTGTAGAGTAAACAGGCTACATCAGGCTGTAGAGAAAACAGGCTACATCAGGCTGTAGAGAAAACAGGCTACATCAGGCTGTAGAGAAAACAGGCTACATCAGGCTGTAGAGAAAACAGGCTACATCAGGCTGTAGAGAAAACAGGCTACATCAGGCTGTAGAGAAAACAGGCTACATCAGGCTGTAGAGAAAACAGGCTACATCAGGCTGTAGAGAAAACAGGCTACATCAGGCTGTAGAGTAAACAGGCTACATCAGGCTGTAGAGAAAACAGGCTACATCAGGCTGTAGAGAAAACAGGCTACATCAGGCTGTAGAGAAAACAGGCTACATCAGGCTGTAGAGAAAACAGGCTACATCAGGCTGTAGAGAAAACAGGCTACATCAGGCTGTAGAGAAAACAGGCTACATCAGGCTGTAGAGAAAACAGGCTACATCAGGCTGTAGAGTAAACAGGCTACATCAGGCTGTAGAGAAAACAGGCTACATCAGGCTGTAGAGAAAACAGGCTACATCAGGCTGTAGAGAAAACAGGCTACATCAGGCTGTAGAGAAAACAGGCTACATCAGGCTGTAGAGTAAACAGGCTACATCAGGCTGTAGAGAAAACAGGCTACATCAGGCTGTAGAGAAAACAGGCTACATCAGGCTGTAGAGAAAACAGGCTACATCAGGCTGTAGAGAAAACAGGCTACATCAGGCTGTAGAGAAAACAGGCTACATCAGGCTGTAGAGAAAACAGGCTACATCAGGCTGTAGAGAAAACAGGCTACATCAGGCTGTAGAGAAAACAGGCTACATCAGGCTGTAGAGAAAACAGGCTACATCAGGCTGTAGAGTAAACAGGCTACATCAGGCTGTAGAGAAAACAGGCTACATCAGGCTGTAGAGAAAACAGGCTACATCAGGCTGTAGAGAAAACAGGCTACATCAGGCTGTAGAGAAAACAGGCTACATCAGGCTGTAGAGAAAACAGGCTACATCAGGCTGTAGAGAAAACAGGCTACATCAGGCTGTAGAGAAAACAGGCTACATCAGGCTGTAGAGTAAACAGGCTACATCAGGCTGTAGAGAAAACAGGCTACATCAGGCTGTAGAGAAAACAGGCTACATCAGGCTGTAGAGAAAACAGGCTACATCAGGCTGTAGAGAAAACAGGCTACATCAGGCTGTAGAGTAAACAGGCTACATCAGGCTGTAGAGAAAACAGGCTACATCAGGCTGTAGAGAAAACAGGCTACATCAGGCTGTAGAGAAAACAGGCTACATCAGGCTGTAGAGAAAACAGGCTACATCAGGCTGTAGAGAAAACAGGCTACATCAGGCTGTAGAGAAAACAGGCTACATCAGGCTGTAGAGAAAACAGGCTACATCAGGCTGTAGAGTAAACAGGCTACATCAGGCTGTAGAGAAAACAGGCTACATCAGGCTGTAGAGTAAACAGGCTACATCAGGCTGTAGAGTAAACAGGCTACATCAGGCTGTAGAGAAAACAGGCTACATCAGGCTGTAGAGAAAACAGGCTACATCAGGCTGTAGAGAAAACAGGCTACATCAGGCTGTAGAGAAAACAGGCTACATCAGGCTGTAGAGTAAACAGGCTACATCAGGCTGTATTTCGAACCGACTATAGATAAAAATCGTTAGGATTATCTGAGCACAGTGGGGGGTGACACCTGACTTCGCTACGCCACTGACCATATAGATCATTCAAACTATTTTTTTAAAGATTCGAACTCAATATTAAAGGAATATTCTGATAACACCTCAGTGATTTTTTTTATGATGAGCCTGTTCACAAGATAATTTTTCCAGACATTGAAATACATATTACTAAGCCACGTTAAGATCTATTTTAACTAGCCATAAAAAGAAAAGCTTTCAATGGTGTTGGCCTACAAGGAAAGCTAGGTGTGAACAACTTCATTGGCATGAATCACATCAAGCAGGTGTTGATCAGACAGGTAAATTTAAGTTGGAATAGATTGTGATTTGTCTACACTATTTTAAAGTTGGAATAGATTGTGATTGGTCTACACCATTTTAAAGTTGGAATAGATTGTGATTGGTCTACACCATTTTAAAGTTGGAATAGATTGTGATTGGTCTACACCATTTTAAAGTTGGAATAGATTGTGATTTGTCTACACCATTTTAAAGTTGGAATAGATTGTGATTGGTCTACACCATTTTAAAGTTGGAATAGATTGTGATTGGTCTACACCATTTTAAAGTTGTAATTTCCAAGAATTATTACATTGTTCAAATCCAAGCTAAGGTTAAAAAAATTTCTAGCGTGAAGCCACAGAGAAGGTTGTATCTTAAAGCCAGTATTATTGGAAATGAATATTTTCAACCTTTTTTTTTTGTCAACTCGGGGTACGGAGAATTTTATTTTTATTTATTTTTACTATTGTTTCACATGGTAATGTAATGTCAGTGTTGAAAACCTAAATCAAACCACAACAATTAATGATAAAGATTTCCAGCTTTTTAATAAGTTAATTATTGTTCTAACAGTATAATCCAGGTGGAAAGAATTTTGAAAAAAAAAAATTTAAACACAGAATCTAGATGTACTGCAGAAAGAATAATTAAGTTTTTGTTTGTCAACTTCCAAATCTAAAATAGAAATGTATTATGAATGTAATATTTTCATTGTATTATTAACCTTATAATGTATTATGAATGTAATATTCTCATTGCATTATAGACCTCAAATTTGGTATAAAATAATTTGATCTCCATGACATTTAAAAAAAAGAATTAAAATCTTTTTTTTAAAACATGACCTTTAGGCCTAAATATTTTTTTATACTAAGCAGCCAAATTCAAAGACAAGTCTGACTAGGGTGTCATGTGACTAGCCGGGGGTGTTATGTGATTAGCCTGGGGTGTCATGTGATTAGTCTGGAGTGTCATGTGATTAGCCTGGGGTGTCATGTGACTAGCCTGGGGTGTCATGTGATTAGCCTGGTGTGTCATGTGATTAGTCTGGGGTGTCATGTGATTAGCCTGGGGTGTCATGTGACTAGCCTGGGGTGTCATGTGATTAGCCTGGGGTGTCATGTGACTAGCCTGGGGTGTCATGTGATTAGCCTGGGGTGTCATGTGACTAGACTGTGTTATGTAGCCAATAATAAAACTACCAGATAAAAGTCTTAACTTACTTTTTCTTTTGATGCACACATTAAAAAAATAATATGCTCTACAAAATATTTATTGTATGTAGATCTCATGTCAAGCTATTTATCATGAATAAAGATTCTAAACAAACTAGGCCTGTTTCTTTTGTGTTAATTTGTCAGTTGGTTGAACTAAGATTCTAAAACTTAACTAATTATTTGTCAGTTGATTAACTGAAATACATCAAACTACCATGATACAACTGTGATAGCTATTACCATTAGCTACGCACTAGACTTGTAGTGGTTGCTATCAATCAACTGGACTAAACTAATTTACATGTTAATTGCTCTTGAGAAATAAGGCTATGATTAAATGGGCAATAATTGTTGCTGTGGTATAAAATTTATTTTAATTTATTGTGTTGTGTGACATTCATTACCATGGCAAACATAGGTCAGTATAATTACCAGAAACAAAATTTCATGTTAAACATTTACTGATGTTAAAAACGTTTATTTAGCCAATTAGTTCCATTTATCTATGTGTATGTAAAACAATAAAGCAGGAGTGATCTCCCCTAAACTTTCTTGGATATTTTTATATAACACTATGGGGAATGAAACTTGAGATATTGACACAATTTTTAATCCATTTTTAATTACTTAAACTTTTTAAAAATATAATAGAATCTTGTAGAAAAAAGAATAGCACACCAAGTGAATGGCAAACAATATGTGTATAATAGTGCGGAATACTAGTACTTTATAAATTCATATCTGTTTTTTTTTTGAGAAATCTGAAATAGCGTAAAGTGCAACTTCCAGTCAACGGAAATTACTCTAAATTTGAAAGATGGCAGATAATTAGATTTTTTACTTATATGTGAAATTTCGTTTATCTATGTCAGTATGTGAAACATTACTCAAGTTGTAGGCTTTTAAAAAATCAAAAGTAGAAAAAGTCCCACTTCCGGTTACCGGAAATTGCTGAAAAGTTGATACAGAACTACAAATTTGATGTAATACTTCAATATAAAATTTAGCTGCACGACATTACCCCCCCCCCCCCCATATTTATCCCCCAGAGCAATCCCTCACCTCAAGTTAGAATCCTAACTCTGATTCAACTTCTGAAGAAAAAAACCAAAACCTAAGCATTCACCTCAAAACTTAACACAAACCCAACTCTAACATTGGTTTAAGCCTAACCTTGACCATAACACTAATCCTGACCCTAACCCTAAATATAACCGTAACGTTAACCCTAGCGAAATTTCATCAACCTAGCTGTAAAGGTGCTCAAGTTATCATGTTCACAGACACACACACACACACACACACACAGACATACAGTTTTCCCAACCCAGGGAGGTACATCAAGATTTGTGAAAATCACAATTTCAATTTTTTGCACGATTACAATACTTCCTCTATACTTTGTATACGAGAAAGTAAAAACATTACATTTAGCTACTTATAGACTCCATTAAATTATCACTCACTGAACTATTTCCCTCTAGTGCTGGCTTTGCCATATTCTATGATTTTGTCCTGAACTTGGACCCACGAATAAGTGCCGTGCGTCTGATTGTGGGACTACACAACACACAGGCTAAGCTGGGCGAGCCGACCATCCTGCCCCTGGTCTACACCGAGCCCTCGACCAGGGCCAATTCTTACAGCGCTGTTAATGCTGTCATTGGCGCCAGGCAACCAGTACCCAGGTAAATACAGGTAGATTTAAAGACCAATGATTACACATGGGAAGATGCTACCTTATCCCTTCTTTTTCCTGAATATTATTTGACATAGGCTTACAGTGCTGATGAGAAGAATTTCTGCTGTTGTCTTGCAGGTGTCCACCCCAACCTGACCTTGGCATTGTTGTTGAGCTGCAGGCTGCTGGCTCGGCCCCTGGGTCTGAACACGACCAGTCTAGGCTGATCACACGAGCCTGGACAAAGATTCCGCTATTTGACAGCCAGGACCGTTTGATGACTGGCAGGCACAGAATGCCATTGAGAGCAGTTCCCCTCAAGCCATACATTCCTATGCACGAGCTTAACTCTATTCCTCAGGTAAAAGCCATGAGCTTAACTCTATTCCTCAGGTAAAAGCCATGAGCTTAACTCTATAAAATGTCCAGTGTGCCATTTTGTGTATGTTTTGTGTATGTTTCTGTATATTTCTGTATGCTTAGTGTGTTTCTGTATGTTTTGCATGTTTCTGTATGTTTTGTGTATGTTTATGTATATTTCTGTATTCTTTGTGTATGTTTTGTATGTTTCTGTATGTTTTGTGTATGTTTCTGTTTATTTCTGTATGCTTTGTGTGTTTCTGTATGTTTTGTGTTTGTGTATTTTTGTGTATATTTCTGTATGCTTTATGTATATTTCTGTATGTTTTGTATATGTTCCTCAGTACGGAGAATCTGAGCTCTACTACCGTATAGTGAATATGAGGGATGCCCAGAGCCAGTCAATGGCCACCATAGCAGCTACCAATCAGGACATGTACCAGGTGGCGCCTGTGGTAAGTTGCTGCAACACTTCAGTACACAACTATTTTCATTAGAGCTGCTTCTACATTGACTTCAGTACACAACTATTTTCATTAGAGCTGCTTCTACATTGACTTCAGTACACAACTATTTTCATTATTGTTGCCTTTTCATTTGATCTTATTCAAAAGCTTTATTTAGAAATAGTTGCTAGAACATGCTTTAAATCTAACTGCACTTTTATTTTATTTATTTTAAATGAATAATTTGTTTCATGTAATCTACACTAATCAACTTTTTAAAGTTCTATTGACTTCTGAGTTTACTCTACATACTTTTCCTCAAATCATTTCAGTTCTATGAACACAAGTTTTATTTTAATCAATTTTTTTAAGATTTGAAAAGCTAAAAAATTTCAGCAAAACTTGACTTGTTGAAGGCTGGTGCTAGACCAATTGTTACACTAGTAGTGTTACACTTGTATAGTTCTGGTTCTATCTGTATATGAAGTTGTATAATTGTGTCAAGACCAGTTCAATTGTTACACTAGTAGTGTTACACTTGTATAGTTCTGGTTCTATCTGTATATGAAGTTGTATAATTGTGTCAAGACCAGTTCAATTGTTACACTAGTAGTGTTACACTTGTATAGTTCTGGTTCTATCTGTATATGAAGTTGTATAATTGTGTCAAGACCAGTTCAATTGTTACACTAGTAGTGTTACACTTGTATAGTTCTGGTTCTATCTGTATATGAAGTTGTATAATTGTGTCAAGACCAGTTCAATTGTTACACTAGTAGTGTTACACTTGTATAGTTCTGGTTCTATCTGTATATGAAGTTGTATAATTGTGTCAAGACCAGTTCAATTGTTACACTAGTAGTGTTACACTTGTATAGTTCTGGTTCTATCTGTATATGAAGTTGTATAATTGTGTCAAGACCAGTTCAATTGTTACACTAGTAGTGTTACACTTGTATAGTTCTGGTTCTATCTGTATATGAAGTTGTATAATTGTGTCAAGACCAGTTCAATTGTTAAACTAGTAGTGTTACACTTGTATAGTTCTGGTTCTATCTGTTTATGAAGTTGTATAATTGTGTCAAGACCAGTTCAATTGTTAAACTAGTAGTGTTACACTTGTATAGTTCTGGTTCTATCTGTTTATGAAGTTGTATAATTGTGTCAAGACCAGCGTCATGGAAGCAAAGAGTTGTGCCCCCTCCCTTCAATAGTTGGATTGAGCTTTAGAGAACACATGATTTAAATCTGCTTTTTCAAGTAGCCATGCTTCAATATAAACTCGATCATACTTAAATAGTTTACTTTTCATTTGAAAAGTTTACCATTTAACTGTAAATAATGATGGTAAAAATCATTTAATAAAATAAAAACCTAAAATTGAGATATCGATTGATCCAATCCAATATAAAAAAGTCTGACCCACTAAATTTATTCTAGTGTCATAACCTGCTTGCCCTCAACTCCTCATGGTATATCTCAAATTTGTCATTCAAAATCAAACATCAACATTTGAGAAACATCAACATTTATCTGGCTAACCTCAAGTTGTCATTTATAAAATGCTGACACTAAAATGATATTAAAATGTCATGTTTGAAATGACAGGCAATTATATGAAATGACAAGCAATTATATGAAATGACAGGCAATAATATGAAATGACAGGCAATAATATGAAATGACAGACAATAATATGAAATGACAGGCAATAATATGAAATGACAGGCAGTAATATGAAATGACAGGCAGTAATATGAAATGACAGGCAATAATATGAAATGACAGGCAATAATATGAAATGACAGGCAATAATATGAAATGACAGGCAATAATATGAAATGACAGGCAATAATATGAAATGACAGGCAGTAATAGCCTCGTTCTCTCTTCCAGGGTGGATTAGTGCTTACTCAGGTCACTGTCTCGCCAGTCCCACCCCCTCCCTCTGCCTCCCCGCCCAGTTCTCCAATGGATTACTTTTCTCCCAGAGTCAGGTAGGAAAAGGGAAATTTAAAACTCATAAGAAATCTTACTTTGAAAAGTTCATTAAGGACTAGAATCTATTTAAAATCATAACTTTTATTACACTGCTAGTAAGACTGATAGTAGCTGTTACTAACTGTATTTATAGAAGTAGTCATTAGCTAGAAATCTTCATATGAATTTTCTTTTTAAAGAAGAAACAAATAAAAGTGGATTTTATTTTTCAGGAAGAAAATACGCTTTTGTCAGGAAAATTAATGACAAAAATTATTTTCATCAGTTGTATTCATAGAAAACAATGTCCATTTTCTTTAATAAAATATTTCATCAGATTAGTATTAGAATAAATGTTTTAGTTTTTTATTTTATTTTATCAACCCAACGGAAAAACTACAAGAAGTAAATAAAAACTAAATGGCCGCTCGTGATGTCATGGCCTAGATTTACAATTAAAAACGTGGATTCGGGAAAAAAATAATAGAGAAAATATTATTGCATGCTGGAAGCGTTTTTACGGTCTTGAAGAGTTAAATGAAAATTCATTTTTTTTATGGGATCATCCATAAACAATGTCACACTACTGGGGGAAGGGGGGGTCTGGCATTTTATGACATTGTATATGAATACCCCCATGCTACTTTTATTTTATATTGATGATTACAAATAATAAACTAACCACAGCTTTTATTTATAATTAACTTTTCATCATCTATGTTATATCACATTTATTTCTTAGAATAATACATGTGTTGTATCTTGAGTAAAACCAGGGATTATGACAACTGTAAAATATGAAAAATTCTTCATTAAATTATATTTTGAAACTCTGCTCACCTAGGTAAAAAATTAAATTTTAAAACTCTGGTAACCGAGGTAATAAATTAAATTTTAAAACTCTGGTAACCTAGGTAACACATTTTAAAACTCTGGTAACCTAGGTAACAAATTTTAAAACTTTGGTAACCTAGGTAACAAATTAAATTTTAAAACTCTGGTAACCTAGGTAACAAATTTTAAAACTCTGGTAACCGAGGTAACAAATTTTAAAACTTTGGTAACCTAGGTAACAAATTTAATTTTAAAACTCTGGTAACCTAGGTAACAAATTAAATTTTAAAACTCTGGTAACCTAGGTAACATAAAACATTTTGGAACGCGGTCACCAGTAGGGTTGCCAGATACCTTTTCCGAAAATACTGGACACCTTTCCATCCTTCCCTTCTCAGGTATGCCGCAAAGCAGAAGAAGGGGGGTAACAGAGTATTATTCATATACTTGTCCAGTATTTATATTTATTTTATCCTGGACAGTCTGCTCAAATACTGGACTGTCCAGTTCAAAACTGGACACCTGGCAACCCTAGTCACCAGTCAAAGCAGGTTTACCTTTGACATGTGTATAAACAAAAAACTGATGGAAACACAGACAGAATTTTAAGACTGGAATAGAATGAAATCTATTAGCTACATTAATAATTATGTTCATTATATTTAACAAGAATGCCTATTAACATTATGCTAACAGTATTTTTAACAAGTGTGCTATTCATGCTCACACCTTGAAGGCTCCATGAAATAGCTACAACTTTTCTGCCCCAGTCAGCAAAGGGTTAAGTCGATGTTAAAATTATATTGTTGGGTGGGTTCAGAAACACCTGAAGTCTGCTCTTTAAAGTTTTAATCTTAAAAGTTTGGTTTTTAAAAGTTTGATTTTCAGAAGGTTTTGGTAAAGTATAAGTCTACCTTTTCCAGTTTTGGTAAAGTATAAGTCTACCTTTTCCAGTTTTGGTAAAGTATAAGTCTAACTTTTCCAGTTTTGGTAAAGTATAAGTCTAATTTTTCGAGTTTTGGTAAAATATAAGTCTACCTTTTCCAGTTTTGGTAAAGTATAAGTCTAACTTTTCCAGTTTTGGTAAAGTATAAGTCTAACTTTTCCAGTTTTGGTAAAGTATAAGTCTAACTTTTCCAGTTTTGGTAAAGTATAAGTCTAACTTTTCCAGTTTTGGTAAAGTATAAGTCTAACTTTTCCAGTTTTGGTAAAGTATAAGTCTAACTTTTCCAGTTTTGGTAAAATATAAGTCTACCTTTTCCAGTTTTGGTAAAGTATAAGTCTAACTTTTCCAGTTTTGGTAAAATATAAGTCTACCTTTTCCAGTTTTGGTAAAGTATAAGTCTAACTTTTCCAGTTTTGGTAAAGTATAAGTCTAACTTTTCCAGTTTTGGTAAAGTATAAGTCTAACTTTTCCAGTTTTGGTAAAGTATAAGTCTAACTTTTCCAGTTTTGGTAAAATATAAGTCTACCTTTTCCAGTTTTGGTAAAGTATAAGTCTAACTTTTCCAGTTTTGGTAAAGTATAAGTCTACCTTTTCCAGTTTTGCAGTTGGTTGATGGAAGCTCTCACGACATTCAAATTTTATTTTCCATTCTGAAAACCTGTTACTTGATACCACATACTGCTCCAGAATATCACCCCCCCCCCGCTATCAATTAACCCCTTATGATTTTCCCCAATTATACCTTACCCTGGTTTAATGACCCTTATTTTCTTACATACACATACTTTAAAATACATATTATATACCTATCCAGATCCCTATCCCTTTCCCAATATCTAGACTTATCCATATCCCTATTTCTAACCCTATCCCTAACCCTATGCATATCCCTGTTGTCAACAGCAGTTAGTATTAAAAGTTAGTAATATCCCATGTTAAGTGTAGTTAGTATTAAAAGTTAGTAATATCCCATGTCAACAGCAGTTAGTATTAAAAGTTAGTAATATCCCATGTCAACAGTCAACCTATCTATACAAATATCTATCTGAACTCTACCTATCTATACAAATATCTATCTGAACTCTACCTATCTATACAAATATCTATCTGAACTCTACCTATCTATACAAATATCTATCTGAACTCTACCTATCTATACAAATCTATCTGAACTCTACCTATCTATACAAATATCTATCTGAACTCTACATATCTATACAAATATCTATCTGAACTCTACCTATCTATACAAATATCTATCTGAACGCTACCTATCTATACAAATATCTATCTGAACTCTACCTATCTATACAAATCTATCTGAACTCTACCTATCTATACAAATATCTATCTGAACTCTACCTATCTATACAAATATCTATCTGAACTCTACCTATCTATACAAATATCTATCTGAACTCTACCTATCTATACAAATATCTATCTGAACTCTACCTATCTATACAAATATCTATCTGAACTCTACCTATCTATACAAATCTATCTGAACTCTACCTATCTATACAAATCTATCTGAACTCTACCTATCTATACAAATATCTATCTGAACTCTACCTATCTATACAAATATCTATCTGAACTCTACCTATCTATACAAATCTATCTGAACTCTACCTATCTATACAAATATCTATCTGAACTCTACCTATCTATACAAATATCTATCTGAACTCTACCTATCTATACAAATATCTATCTGAACTCTACCTATCTATACAAATATCTATCTGAACTCTACCTATCTATACAAATATCTATCTGAACTCTACCTATCTATACAAATATCTATCTGAACTCTACCTATCTATACAAATATCTATCTGAACTCTACCTATCTATACAAATCTATCTGAACTCTACCTATCTATACAAATCTATCTGAACTCTACCTATCTATACAAATATCTATCTGAACTCTACCTATCTATACAAATATCTATCTGAACTCTACCTATCTATACAAATCTATCTGAACTCTACCTATCTATACAAATATCTATCTGAACTCTACCTATCTATACAAATATCTATCTGAACTCTACCTATCTATACAAATATCTATCTGAACTCTACCTATCTATACAAATATCTATCTGAACTCTACCTATCTATACAAATATCTATCTGAACTCTACCTATCTATACAAATATCTATCTGAACTCTACCTATCTATACAAATATCAATCTGAACTCTACCTATTTATACAAATCTATCTGAACTCTACCTATCTATACAAATATCTATCTGAACGCTACCCATCTATACAAATATCTATCTGAACTCTACCTATCTATACAAATATCTATCTGAACTCTACCTATCTATACAAATATCTATCTGAACTCTACCTATCTATACAAATATCAATCTGAACTCTACCTATTTATACAAATCTATCTGAACTCTACCTATCTATACAAATATCTATCTGAACTCTACCTATCTATACAAATATCTATCTGAACTCTACCTATCTATACAAATATCTATCTGAACTCTACCTATCTATACAAATATCTATCTGAACTCTACCTATCTATACAAATATCTATCTGAACTCTACCTATCTATACAAATATCTATCTGAACTCTACCTATCTATACAAATATCTATCTGAACTCTACCTATCTATACAAATATCTATCTGAACTCTACCTATCTATACAAATATCTATCTGAACGCAACCTATCTATACAAATATCTATCTGAACTCTACCTATCTATACAAATATCTATCTGAACTCTACCTATCTATACAAATATCTATCTGAACTCTACCTATCTATACAAATATCTATCTGAACGCAACCTATCTATACAAATATCTATCTGAACTCTACCTATCTATACAAATCTATCTGAACTCTACCTATCTATACAAATATCTATCTGAACTCTACCTATCTATACAAATATCTATCTGAACTCTACCTATCTATACAAATATCTATCTGAACTCTACCTATCTATACAAATATCTATCTGAACGCTACCTATCTATACAAATATCTATCTGAACTCTACCTATCTATACAAATCTATCTGAACTCTACCTATCTATACAAATATCTATCTGAACTCTACCTATCTATACAAATATCTATCTGAACTCTACCTATCTATACAAATCTATCTGAACTCTACCTATCTATACAAATATCTATCTGAACTCTACATATCTATACAAATATCTATCTGAACTCTACCTATCTATACAAATATCTATCTGAA